AACTGTTCTACCGTAAAGTGCTCGACTTCGCGTGCAGGTCGTCGGGCTACCGAAGCGGGGGTGCCATCCCCTCTGCAGAGGATCATAATTGTGATGTCATGTCTTCGGATCATCCTCAGGGGTGTTTCCCAAACCGTCGCCAATAGCCCATCGTGCAGCTCTAGTGCGACGTAAATTAACTACAACATCAATTTTCAGTCGGCTGGGGAATTTGGTCTAGCAGAAAATTTTCGGTGTCAAGGTTTTTTGTGACACGTCAAATTGTTATTGTTTAACATTACATTTGAAATTCTGCTCAAAATTAAAATTTTACACATTGTAATGGCTCCTAGATGGTTGAATTTATTGTCATTTGACTGTAAACTGACGATATTTTACGTTAAAGCCGTGTCATGGTGAGCACAGTATGCTACCCCCATTTGATACTTTAAACACCGTCCACTTCCGGTTGGTTTTTTGATTTTCAGTCGGCTGGGGAATTTGGTCGAGCAAAAAAAATTTGCATGTGGTGGTTTTTGTGACATGCGAAGTTGTCATTGTTTAACATTACAATTGAAATTTTGCAGAAAAATTCGTAATTTTATACGATGTAATGGGTCCTAGATGACGAAATTTATTTCTAACTGACTGAAACTGCTGATTTTTTTTAAAAAATCAATGTCAAGGTGATGAGACGCTTGTGGAGCTCGAGCATTCTGACTCATTACACAATCCCAGCGCTGCTACATTGGGGTGTAACATGACGTTGCTGTGAAATCCTGATCCATGGTAATGCTCTAAAATGTATCGGGATGTTTTGAACTCTATTGAAATAGCGATGCTCTGATATCCTTTGGGAGACTGCGAGATGCATTGGGTTGATGATGCTGCTAGATCCATTTTGATTGTGGCTCTCCCAGATTCAGAGGAATGGAATGGGATTTGTAATACTCTAAGATCGATTGTGATACTCTGAAGGTTGTATTGAGAATAATACGCAAAGACAGGACTCGGAAAAATTTGGACTGGAAAGTTTCTTGAGGAGCTCGAGACAGCCGAGTCAAGTTGATCGCGCTGCGTTATACATTACTGTTATACAAAAAATTGGCATTCATTACTGTAATCATACGTCTTACATTACTGCAATACATCATGTATCATGCATTACCGTAAAAAATGACGTTTCTGGTTTAAAGAAAGCGTCGAGTTTTGCTGACCTCAGTCTCTGAAAATTTCATAAGCCATGGTTTAATGCTTCTCAGGTTCGCTACCCATTTTGAGTAAGAGCCACAAAGCTCTCCGTTTTCCGGAAGACTTTTCTCAACGGGACGCAGCACTAAGGTTGGCTTAGTTCCAATTCATTCTGTTACTGAGTTGCAAACCCAATTATGGAAACGCATCTGTCCGAGTGACCGGAAACGTTTCAATACAATGGGTTTCGATTACCCTTTTTCAACCAACTGCAACACTACAACTCAGCACTTTAGTGGTAAACCTTCTAAAATGTTGGCAAAATTACGCAAATTTTTTTTTGAAACATTGGATTTTTAATTGTCTACCACTATACAAATTATTTTACAACAGACATAATAGTTCAAAGCCTCGTAAGCCCCTACAAGTCTGCTCCCCTTTGCTTCAAACGTTCATGTTTTAGAAATTATTTTACTCCTTTAACCCCTGAGAAGAAATTTAACCGTTGAAATAATTGCTATTTTATCTTCACCCTTTGGGGAAATTCTGAACTACGCGTATGAAAGTTTAGAACAAGATTCAGATGCACCTGGAAGAAACTAAAAGTGGTGGTAATATTAATATACATTTTTTTATGTTATTATATTTGTTGCCACCTGAATATTTTATTTTCTCTAAGTAAATATAATATGAAAATCCAAAGCTTAAGTATATGAAATTTTAATTCGAAAGGTGGAAGGAAATTTTAAGAAATTTTCAGTATCTTCTTAAGAAAATAGTTACCAGTTTTTAATTTTTTCCAGGTGAATACAATCTCTGTGTTGAATATTCACTGTACCAGAAATGCCAACTTGCCTCGCTTTGTAGACAATATTTTTCTGGTAGTAGCGAACTTAATGTTTTTATGAATGATTCTTGGTTCAGTAAATTCAATTCAAATTAATTTTTTTCACCACTTAGCATAAATAATTCATAATTTTTGTATAAAATGCTGCTTTGTTACAGCTATCACGTGGTGAGTCTTTCAATATGTCAGCTTATTTAATTAACGTTTTATGATATTTAATTTTTTACTCTCTACCACTTAATTGAACATTTCGAAGAAGCAAAGAAATGTGCTTCCATTTTAAAAGAGAGCATTTAGACTTTTCTTTGTCACATGCTAATCGCAAAAGTTTTACCCGTACATTTATATTACTTAAAGAAGTTTGTGAAGCTAAATAAAAAGATTTAAATGTAATGAACGCGAATCACAGGAAGAAAAATTAAGATTTTTTTTTCCCATTGGAGGAGACAAATCCCAACAAAATCTCCCCTCATTGTTTTATTTTTAAAAACTTTTCACCCCTTCATGAATTTAAATGGTTAAAATCTTCCTTGGAATCAAATCCATGGCCATTATTTTATCGAAAATTGATATCAATCGTATCTTTAGAAAATTATATTAGCAACAAAACTGTCGAGGTTGGAAAAAAAAATTTTTTGAAGTGACGATTTTATTTATTGTTTAAATATCATTTTTTCATTTCCATATATTAAAAATACCTTTTTCATTTTGTAGGAATGCTACACCAATTTGAAATCCATTAGCATCGGGAAACACTGCACATTCTAGACACATAGTTAACATTCTGTCAACATGAAACTTTTAACTCCGAGACGTTTTTGAGAAAATATACTGAAATTTTCCGAATTGATCACATATTTTAAATGACTGCCGTTTTTTACTGAATTGTTTGATTAAGATGGATGAAAGAAGTCAAGATAATAATTTTCTAGTTCAAGAATTATTAAAGTTGTCAGCAAAATCAGAGAAAAAAACTGTAGAGAAATTTAAACAATCCAATGAAATTAGTCGCTGCAGCATTTACTTGTCAATTCTCAAAAATCTTAGAGATGCTATAAAAACAAGCAATCAGATTGAGTTTAAGAGATTGCTTTATCTGCTGCTTATGTTGAATCGTAACAGCCAGCCTACTGAAGTTATGGATTATTTTAACTACAGTGATGATAATCCTCTCAAACATTCCAATATCATAATTATGGCCTGCAAATATAACCAAAAAGAAATTTTACAGTATATACTGGGTAAAGCATGCACTCTTATCAGTGATTTATTTTTTCAATTTGGAAGAACATTCCCTTCAACAACTGACGAAGATGAAGAATGCCACAATGCTTTCTATTATACCATACGCTCCGGCGATAAGCTACTTCTTGAAATTTTAATAAAGAATTGGCCAGGAGATTATTTTGCATCACGTCCCGAAGAACTGTGCCAACTTCTATCCGAAAATTACAATGAACTTAAATTGAAAAATGTGAACATATCCATTGAAATGCAGATGTTTATTCACAATGTTCTATTAGACTTCTATTTCAAAAGTAACGGTTTCGGCGATGTCACTGAAACCTCTCATGCAGAGTATAAGAAAAGGATATCACTGCTTTTAGAGTATTATCAAAGATTGAAGACAGAGTGTGAAAATTATTCATATGTTGAGCCAATAATTGTTTTATCAAAACTTATAGCTTTAAACATATTTCTGTTAAAGAAATGCTTGAAATCAACATATGGCAGAATACCTTGGGAAGAAATGGAATATCACTTAATATCTTATATTCGATATCTGACTCATCAAGGAAATTATGTCAACTGCTTTGTAACACGGAATGATGTGTTAACATACCTCAGTTATTTTTTGGACTGCTTAGTTAATGAAACAGAAACAATTACCGATACCAGATTGAAATACTTAAATAAACTTCCGAGAGCCAAACGTGATGATGTCGTTAGAAGTATCATTGAAAATAAGCCTTATTTTGAAGAACTGTATAAAAACTTTGCTTTAATTCGAGATTGTGAGTCCCTCAATGTAATTAAAAAGTATGTCGGCATAGCGGTTAAAGTTAATCCACAAGAAAAGAAAGGAAAAACAGTAATAGTCAGAGCATTACAGATGATGGGAGAAAACTTAAAAAATACCTTTGAATCTCCAAACTTATCTTCAGCGACTAGTGATTATTTGATGTCTTTTTTGCCTGAAAAAACTAACAAAATTTTAATTCATCTACGTAACTCATTTTCACATGGTTTCCCGTTATCTAAGTGCAAAGAGATGGAACAAAGTTATGGAACTGAGTTTTATGCATGTGTTCAGAGCGATATAAAGAACCTAGAACGGGGAATAACAACAGTTTTACATAAAATAAAGGTCAAGACTGTCAAAATTTTGCTGCGGAAAATATGCGATTGTGAAAATGTTGAAAGGCTGAAAGAAACTTTTGAAATGCTTCAAGCTTTAAACTTACGTAAATATTTATTTACGCCCGACGCTTTTTCAAGCAATGATAACATAACTGAACTGGAAACACTTGTATGCGAGTTAAAAAATAATATTCCGGAAAAGACACAACTTGAAAATTGTATTTTTGACAAAATCGATAAAATTATAAGGAATGAGAAGAAACTTCCGCAAAATTCCCATTTTGACTATGCCAAATACGTAATGTTGTTAAACGTTGCGCATTCTTTTAATTTTTATTTGAATGATTCCAACATTTCTACAGTAAAGTGGAAAATTGAAACTACTTTAAGCTCCTTCAAAAACCAAAAGAAATCAGAAAAATTAAAACAAATTGGACCTTTAATGATGGAACTATTAAAAATTATTCAACACAAATTAGATAAACCAGGTTTATATCAGTTGTTTCACAAAATATTTTTCTTAACAATAATGCAGGGGCGTTATATAAAGTATCTTCAGGAACTAAAAGAAAGCTTTAATAAAAGAAAATCTAGGCCCATTCCGGAACAAACTAATACTGAAAATTACACAACCACTTACTATCAAGACTTACTTTTAAATGACATGGATGCTTTAAGAGAATTAGTAAAATTCCATAACTTATCTAAAAATAATCTCGAAGCTTTTCTGGAGTACAAAAGTGATCTAACTCTTCAATCAGAAATCGAAATGCTTATACTATCAATTTTATCAAGTTTAGAAAATACAGAACATTTTTTGATCAACAATAATTTGCCTCTGAATAATGAATATTCTTTATTAGTTGGGAAAAGTTTGAGAAATCATCTTGCTCATAGAAATAATTTAGCTGACATATTATTGAATCCTGATCAGTCAATATTTTTATTTGCACTGAAACTTACTAAATTTAATTTCCATAAAATTGGCAAAAATTCAATGATCAAAGTATCTGGTGTTAAGTCAAACGCACGTTTTCATTTCAAGAACATATCTCGCATAACAATTCAGAGAAGTTTATTTTTATCCCTATCCAATGAATCCTTGGAAAATATCAAATGTTGGATGAGGAAAGGAGCTGATATATTTGGACGAGACAATTTTTTGACAACCTCTTTACATTTTGCCACAAAATCATCTAATCTTGATACTCTAAAGTTCTTAATTGATAATGGAATGGACTACAAAGCTAAAGACTTTAATAACAGAAGTATTCTTCACACTGCTGCTGCTTCCAGTAACAAAGAACTGGTTGATTATATCATCATAGAATTAGGTTTATCAGTTGATGAACGCTGTGATCAGTTGAAAACTCCCCTTCATTATGCAGCAGAAAGTGGTTCAGTAGAAATTGTAAGCACTTTACTGAACCATCATGCGAAAGCCAATTTTAAAGATTTTTTCTTCTTAACACCTCTGTATCGAGCTGCTAGCAACAACAGGTTAGAGATAATTTCACTATTTCTTAAAAATGTTAAAAATATTGATTCACTGCAACATGTAGGTGGATTTACATTGTTACATTACGCTGCTGAGAGCGGTTTTCTGCAGTTAGTTGAATATTTTATTCGAAAAGGAGCAAACGTTAATGCATTGACAGACAGAGGTGCAACTCCTTTACACTTATCCGCCTTCTTTGGACACTTAGAAGTAGTTAAATTCTTAATTTCGAATGGGGCTGTTGTAGATTATTCGGATCTGGAAGAAATGACGCCTCTACATCATGCGGCTGAGAAGGGACATGCTTCGGTTGTAAGATACCTCTTGGAAAAAGGGGCAAATGTAAACGCTTTAAATTGTGCTGGATTTTCATCAGTGCATTATGCAATCGCCATTCAAAGTGTAAACATAATGCAGATATTAGTTAACTTTGGCGCTAATATCGAACACAATTCAAAACAGAGTCCATCTGCGTTGGAATATGCTGCATCTTATGGTACTAGTTTAGATGTCATTAATTTTTTGATTATAAATAAAGCTCCCATTAATGCTAAAAACTCACAGGGATTCACTCCTCTTCATGTTAGTATTGCTAATTTTAACATTGATATTACTGCCCGCTTAATAGAATGTGGAGCTGAAATTAATGCACAAAATATTGATGGTGTAACCCCTCTAAGTCTTGCTATTCAAGTTGGTAATTTTGTTTCTTTCAATCAACTGCTAAAGGCTGGGGCTGACATTTTTTTAAATGAAATCAATAACCAAACATTATTGCACAAGTGTGCTACTACATCTTCTGAAATAACATCAGTAATGGAAATGCTTAAAGCAGATATTCCTGATCTTTATGAGGTGTCTATATCTAATTCCGTTATATTAGAGATGTTCGTAAGACTTGTAGGTGAAGGAGCTGACTTTGAAAAAAAGAATGAACATGATCAGACACCCATGCATTTAGCTTGCTTTTCCGGAAATAATGAAGTTGTAAAATATTTAATTCACAAAATGATAAATATAAATAGCTATGACAATTTTGGATATACACCTTTGCATTATGCTGTGCTGGGAAATCATCTTGAAGTAGCTCAGTCCCTTCTTATGAGTGGAAAATGCTCTTTAAATCTAACCTCATTGGAAGGTAATACTGCATTAAGTTTAGCTTCAGGAAGCAAATGCGTGGAAATCTGTCGTTTATTGGTAAAAAATGGGGCCGACGTAAATGCTGGTAGACCATTAGTTAAAACACTTAAGAATTGGTCCTCTGAAATATGGGAAATTCTTCTACGGGAAAAAAACCTTGATGTTATGAAACAATTTAAAGACCATATTTTGCCCCTTCAGGGAGCTTGTGCAACCGGAAACAAGCAAATGGTTTCAAGTCTTCTTGCTACACAAAAATCATTAGGGATGGACTTTTCTAAAGAGTTGAATCAGTCTTTGTATTTCGCTATTGTTGCTGGTCATGTCGATATTGTGACTATTTTGCTAGAACATGGAGCTGAGGCAGACAAACCATTAGAAACAGGTGGTTTTTTTACCCCTTTACATATGGCAGCAGTTCAAGATCAGACCAAAATCGTAGTAACATTGTTAAATTACGGAGCTGATCCGAATAAATTGGATGCGAAAGCTAGAAAACCAATTGAAATGGCTGTCGCACACAATTGTTTAAATGTTGTAAAATTTCTGTGCACGAAAACAGATGCAATTTCAAATGTTTCAGGTATTAATAATTACACTTTGTTACATATTGCTACAGAATTCGGTCACTTAGACATGGTTAAGTATTTGATTGAATCCGGTGCTTCCATTACGTCCCTGGATTCTATGCAGCGGAAGCCAATTCACATTGCTGTTCAGAAAGGACATTTACATATTTTGCAATACTTTATCGNTTTGGATTTGGACATAAGTCAATCAACTTTATTTATTCAAAAAAATTAGACTCCTCTTCATTATGCTTCGAAATTTAATAATATTGAAATAGTAATATTGTTATTAGAATATGGTGCTACATACAATCCTATATCAATTGATAACAAAACTCCTTTGGATCTATCTCAAAACAAACAAATCAATGATGTATTAAAACTGATCGATAAGTCCTTTAAAAATATTTTAAATTCGAGCAAAAAAATTTTAAGAACTCCTCTAAAGTTTCTTGATCCACATGTTCTAAAAGCAATTATGAATGCAAAAAATAGAGAAAAAGAAACTTTGATGACTTGTGCCATTCGCAAAGACTCTCCTAGGGTAGAGCAGCTAAAACGTATATTTTTTTACGACACTGAAAACCTTAGTAGTTTATCCGACTACTTCGCTTCTAAAGAACAGTATGATATAGCTTTGAATTTGCAAACAAATTTACTTGAAAAGAAGAGAAAAATTTTAGGTTCTGAAAATCCGGATACTTTAGAAACTGAAGAGAGTGTCGCTTGGATATTGTATAAACAGCAAAGATACAAGGAAGCTCTAAGTATTTGTAAAGAAATATTAAATAAAAGAGAAGATATGCTGGGAAAGAACAATAAATATACTCACAAATCACTTTCTTCTATCGCTCTTATACTCCATAGACTTGGGCGGAATTTAGAAGCTATAGATATTTTCGAGAATGTTCATAAAAAACAAAAGGAAATTCTTGGATTAAACAATTCAGATACTTTGCAAACTGCAATGCACATGGCATTAGTTTTGAATGACCTTGATAGGCATGAAGAAGCTTTGAATATCAACAAATCTGTTTTTCGAGAATGCTTAAAATTATATGGTTTTAGGCAACCTATAACTTTAGCTTCTCAAAATAACATTGGACAGACTTTAACTTGTTTGAAAAATTACGACGAAGCTATTCGGATTTACAAAGTTGTTTATAATTTGAGGAAAGAAATTTTAGGGCCATTTCATTCCGATACTTTAAGAACATTTCGTAACTTAAATCAGGTATTAGGGTTTCAAAATAAATCTGAAGAAGCCTTGAAAGGTTTTCAAGAAGTTCTCCGTTTACAAAAAGTAGCGTTAGGCCATAATCATATCGATACAATATACACTGAATTCCAAATAGCAAGTCTTTTACTACGTGAAGGAAGACATATTGAAGCTTATGAAATTTTAAAAGAAAACATTGAGAAGTTCAAAACAGTACTTGGAGCTAATCATCCGTTAGTTTTAGAAACTGAATCAATATTAGATTCAATAAAATATCTATTTGAAATGGATGGTTTTCAAGGTATGTTTCTTTTAAACAAACTGGATAATAAATACAAACCACACACGTTATTATCAAGTGAGTTCCTGGCAAAAGATACCTTTCAATTTGTTGGCGTTGATTCTGAAGATGGAAACTCGACAAAAATGGAATGTCTGTCCATTGAACCTGACGTCATTAACTCGCTTGTGGGTAAAAATAACAGTAACTCTGCTTCATTATCAAAACATTTTCTAACTAGAGACTTGTTTCAACACGAAAACGTCGATTTAGAAGGGAAGAACTCTGGAAACATATGCTCATCCAATACTGAAACTGAAACCATCAACCAGTGTGTGAATGAAAAGGACAAATATCGTGCTTTATATTCAGAAGAATTTCCCATTGAAATGGCTAGTCCTTTAATTGTTGATTCTGAAGGTAGAACGCCGCTTCATTATGCTGTGAGTAAAGGTGAAATATTTTTTGTGAAACATTTATTGCACTGTGGACATGACACAATGCACGTAACTAATAAAGGGAACACTGTAGTTCATATTGCATCATTGAAAGGTTTTACAGATATTATTGAAGTGTTATTGACTACTGCAAAAGAAAAACACTTTCGAAGTTTTCATAAATTTATAAATGCAAAAACTCATAATGGTGGTAATACTGCGTTGCATGCAGCTGCGAATTTGGAAACTGTATTAACTTTATTGAAATACGGGGTTGTATATGATGAAAAAAACAATGTAGGTAAAATTCCTCAGGACCATACTGATATAAAAGAAATAACTAGTTTTCTGCAACTTGTCTCTGGGTTTTTTACTGATGCTTCAACTGGTGACACTAAAATGATTTCTAAATTGAAGAAATTGCTAGAGAAGGAAAAATTAGCTATTGTAAACGCCAGAAATGGACAAAACCTCACATTGCTACAAGTCAGCTTAAAAAATGGTTATAAGGAAATAGCTAATGAACTTTGTTCAATTATGAAGGATTGAATTTTAAAGAGTAATTAAAAGATTATCTTATATATTGTATTTTGTATGTTTTATAATTACTGATTATTAGTTTATAATGATCTTTGTGTTTTCTAAACAATATTTTTTATTACGTAAATGTGACGTGAATTGTCCTCAGTGGTAGACGGATCATAGGTTAGAGTACTTTCGCCGTCAAGCTAACCATGGGAAGTTCTCGTGGGCTTCCTCTCCATGTAACGCAAATGCGGGTTAGTTCCATCAAAAATGTCCTCCACGAAGGCAAATTTCTCCCGATACTTGATCCAAGAGTTTCCACCTTGTCTTCTGGATTGGGTTCAAAATTACAAGGCTACGGAGATGAACTCTATTAGTCGTAAACCCAAATTTGGGTCGGCTGTTCAACGACGGTTTAAAATAAAATAAAATCATTTCAAAAACTTTATGCTAATTCACTGTTTTTATTCTTTGATTTAAATCATGATGAAAAATGATACATGATTTCTAATTCCTTATGGAAAGGCGAAAGGCCTTTAGTAATTTATGCCGATCTTTCACACTTATAAATAGGACATTATATTGTAAATAATTATTATTAACTTGTTTCTAAAATTAATATCATTCGTTAAGTATATACTGTAAATAATGATTATTTTTAACCTGTTTCTCAAACAAGCTTGTTATATTTCCCTTCAACTTGTTCTCCAAATAAGAGATTATGTACTTATTCTGAAATCCTATACTAAAACCTTTGAATGAACCTGACTGATTACTGCTGAAACCTTTTATTTTGAATTCGTTTCTCAATAGACTACTCATTGGACTAAACCTTTTGGACTAGGCTAATTTTTGCTTTTCTTTTTATAAGAAATTCTGCGAGTATACCGAATAATTGTATATAATTTATCTTTGTACATAACTTGTATTTCTCGCAAATTTGAATCTGTCTATTGCCTTGATCACGTGTATTTTTTTTCATCTCAGATACACCATTAGAATACAGATAACTAATATTTTTACCACAAATGTTCCTGAAATTTATGATGGAAGGAAAAGGGTCGCTTCGCGTATGCAGAAATAACAATTGTCTAATTGGATATTTGTAAGCGGTGCCATGCGTGGCCACGCATGACACAGCTTTTTCAGCAAATCAGTCTTGACACAACACGCTATGCACAAACACGTAATTAGACATAATCATGACATTAGACACAATTAGATTACTTGCAAGTATCCAATTCTGAAATGCCAACTGCTCCGCTTTCTACAAACATTTTTGTAAAGTGGTACAGTTTTAAAAACTGGAACTAATAGAAATTAAATTTTTTTCCCAACGTTTATAGAGGTTCACCCTGAGAGGCTATGTTATACCTATATAAAATTGACATCAAAGATCAAGCCCCGAAAGGGAATCTTCTTGTTCATCATATTATGATAACGATGCAAAGCTAAATTGTCAACTAAAATGAATAAAAATTACTCTTCTAAATACAACATTTCTCTCCACTTACGTGGGTTTCGCTGATGCGGGATGATGGGACTCACCGACTTTTAAAAGAGTAGGCACTACCAAACACGAATTGATGGCTTTGACAGAGACTCTCAAACCGAGAACTGTGTCGTGCTTTTTAACAGCCTGACGTCAGCAAACAAATAATAAACCAAAGAATTAAGTGCACCAGCGACTTTGTTAAAGTGAACACAAAACGATCAGCTCACAAATTATGTTTGGTCAAACCTACTAAAATAAGAGCTAGGAACCCAATAAAGAGTGGCCTGAACGAAAATTCCTGAAAAGACTAGGGTCTTCCCTAAACTGTCATGCCACCGAAGAAGAACGTCTTTGCGCTTCGTAAGGAATTTTGAATTATTTATATGTAGTGGGGGGGATGATTTTTAATCAATTTTCTAAACCAATAATCATACAATAAAACATGCGTTTCTCTACAACATGAAAAAGATTTTTCTACAAAGCGAAGCTAATTGGCATCTTCGCATTTGTCACACGCAACCTATATCATTTAACCAGTACTTATTCAAGGTGGTAGTCATGGATATTTTACTCCTCCTTAAAAATTATTTAATCAGGGATGTCAACCTGCTCCGGTTTGTAAAAAAATATTTTCTAGCAGTAAAGAAATTTATGTTATTTTTAGTTTCAGTTTGTTCATTTTAAGTCATTTTTCCACCACTATGTATCAAAAATTCAAAGTGTCCTATAGAATGCAGCTTACAGAGATGCCAACTTGCTCCGGACAGCAAATATATATTTTAAAGTGGTAGTTTATCAATTGTGATTCTTGGTTTAATAAATTCAATTTAGTAGATTTTTATCCACCACTATTTCTAAATAATTCGTAGGCTTATATCATTCACCACTTTGTGATACTTATAGGATGATTCGATAGCCAACTGAACTGAGAGTAGGTTGTGCTCGATCAAGCTCCGACGATTCAGAATCATGCCTTATCATCGAACTGCCCGCGGCGGAAAGGTTTCACCTCCCGGCCGTAGTCAAGACTCCTCACCTAATATCTCAGCTTCTTTAGATGCCGCAATGGACGAGGCCACTAAGATGTGCGAAGATCTCAGAGCGAAACTTCGACGCTACGATGTGAATTATTTCCTGGACTTATTGGCCAAGAATGATCCCACCCCGACTCCCGAGAAGGACGTAGCAACTTCGACAGCGCCTGTGCCCGTTCCCGAGCCCAGCGCCCCCGATACATCTGAGACTGAAGAGCCTGTGCCCGTTCCCGAGCCCAGCGTTCCTGGAACAACAGAACCTGATGAGGAGGCCTCGGCATCCGAAACAGCGTTCCCAGATATCCCCTCCACTAAGCCTCCAGCCAAGAAGAGAAGGAAGAAAAAGAAGACGAAAGCAGCCAAGAAAATCAAAGCCTCTCCCCCAACTAAGCCTACTGCCTGCCAACCACCTTCCACTGCTCTTCCACCGCCGGAGTCACCCCCACCAGCCCCGATGGAGAACGCCGAGGAAGCTCCCACCGACGCCGCACCTTCCAGGCCCTTTTTAGGGCCAGCCAATAATGATGTGAAATCAGCTAAATTCCTGAAAGTGCTCCTTCGTGGCCTCCCAAGGGACTTCGACCCAGACCTAATTTCCCTTGAATTAGGGAAATTAAATATCGAAACACACAAGATCATCCAGTTCAAGAGGAGGGTGGGTGGAGCCTATCGGCCCCTCCCACTTTTCCTAGTGATCCTACCCAGGCTGACCAACCACACGAAAGTGTATTTCACCGACAAACCTTTCTGTTATTAAACCTTTCTGTTTTATATCCGTCGTTGAACAGCCGACCCAATTATGGGCTTACGACTACCATTGTTCAACTCCGTATCCTTGTAATTTTGAAACAATCTCATACCTGCCAACTTTTACGCATTTGGCGTAAAATGTTATTTTTATATTTAAAGTGGTAGTAAATATATACTATTTTTTATTTTATAAACTAAATTTCAAATGATTTTGATCACCAGTATTCTGAAAAAAATTTAGCATATATATTAATATGTATTTCTATCATGGTTGTCAGCTAAAGCTTTTTCAAATACAACGCATTTTTTTGCTTACAATTGAAATTTTGATTCCATTTTACTACCATTAGGAAAAATCATAATGAAAGGGATTAAAAGTTGGCAGGTATGCAATCCAGATGACAAGGAAACTCCTGGATCAGTAACCCCAGAGGTATTAATTTGTTATGGGAATATGGAGGACTTTGCGACTCAACAGATTTAACGTGTATCAGTCACTATTTACTACACTGGTCTTCTGCCGGTCTGGGATCGAACCCACGATCTCTAGGACATGGAACCAGTGCCCTACCAAGCAGGCTATCCCTGCCCTTTATTAAAACTTTTGCAGAAATCGGAGCAGTTGGCATCCCTGTTGAAGTGAATTAATTGTATTATCAATTCCACGGGCTTTAAAAATTTTATAGTGGCAGCATATTTACGTTAAAGCTTATATGAATTATTGTTTTCAAGATACCTTTTTAGCATTCAGAGGTCTGTCAAGGCAAAACATTTAGGCACATATATTTACTTGAAGAAGAAAAAACATATAGTGGTGTTCGCATATATATTAGGTCCATCTTTTCATTGCTACCACTTTTTGATATTAAGATCCTTAGGAATCTCGCATCACCTTTTCCACATATATTGGTAAGCACGGATGTCCTAGCTTCCGGCAAAGCCGAAAGCAGGGGTGAAAGCGAGACGGAAAAGAGGAAAGGCTGGTAGTAAAACCATTTTTATTGCTAGTTTTCGACAGGAGTTTACTTAATTTTCTTTAAAACTATTCAACAATACCTTCTTTATCTTGGAAAAGAAGCAGTTTTACTTATATCTTAAAACTATAGAATAAATCTTTGATAGTTACAGATATTTTATTTTTCTCGAAAAAATTCTAAAATGAAATGTCTTTCGTACCAGTTTTTGCTTTTTTTCGTCTTGCTATATAAGGGCTTTCAGCCTTGGCCGAATGAGGTAACGAAATAAAAATCTAGGTTAGGTTTAAGTTGTTTAATTTTACCAACCCTTGAAACTGTAATTGAATGATAATTAGGTCTTATGTAACAAGTAGACTGCGCTCCCGTGGCCGTAAAGCGGCCAACATCCCATTTATATATCTGCCAACTTTTACGCTCTTCAAAGAAGATTTTATCCAGTGGTAGAAAAGGGAAATGTGAATTGACATTATATAAGCACATACCTGCCAACTTTCACTCGTTTCGAATATAGATTTTCAGAGTGGTTGTAAAACAGTGAACGAAAAACAATCTGACTAAAAAATATATTTAAATTTTGATCCCGTTGAAATTCGCTTGTGGAAGAATTATTATGCTTTTATATATTTATTGTAATTATTTATATGTGGTGGTGGTCAAATTCATTTATAATTATCATTATAATTCAAAAAGTTAATAGGAATATTGCTACCACTTTAAATATGAAAATAAAATCTTCCGGAAGAGTTGGCAGTTATGTAAGCAGACTTTTCAATTATATTTAAGCCACTTAACGATGGATA